CCTCTGCAAGGTGCTCAAGCTGCCAGCAGCCTTTGAGGAAACGGCTGTGTCCTACTTCCAGAGGGCTCTGGAGCTGCCTGCCTTCCACCTGGTCAGCCTGGAGAAGAAGGAGCTGCTGGGGGGGTGCTGTGTGCTGGTGACGTGCCGGCAGCGCCGCTGGCCGCTGACCATGGGCACCGTGTGCTCCCTGCTCTACGCCAAGCAGGAGCTCTTTGCCAGCGTCTTCCTGAGCCTGCAGAGGGAGCTGGAGCTCTCTGTGCCCGCCCTGAGCCTGGCAGACCTGGTGACCACACACCTGAGCAGGTGAGGGGGCAGCCTTTGGTGGGTGGAGGGGATGGGGTGTGGCACAGCTCGGGCTGGGCTGGTGTTTGTCCCTCCCTTGTCACAGCTGGGCTGTTGTCACAGACATCTTTTCATTAAAAATCTTTCCTAAAGACTTTTTCCTCCTGAGAAGCTGAGAGGCCTCAGAGACAGAATGTAAACAAGGGTTATCTGCTGCTGTGGAATGCAACAGGTGCATCTGGGATTGGCCTCATGTGGATGTTTGGAATTAATGGCCAATCACAGTCAGCTGGCTCAGACAGAGAGACTGAGGCAGCTGCCTTTGTTATTATTCTTTTCTCTTCTTTTCTATTCTTAACTTAGCCAACCTTCTGAGATGAAACCTTTCCTTCTCTTCTTTTTAGTATAGTTTTAATATAATATAGATCATAAAAGAATAAATCAAGCCTTCTGAAACATGGAGTCGGATCCTCATCTCTTCCCTCATCCTAAGACCTCTGTGAACACGGTCACAGGCTGTGGTTCTCATCCTGCTCCATTCTCCTCAGAGAGCTGCTCAGGGAGGCTCTGTGGATCAGGAGATCCCAGATCTCTGAGGTTGGAAAAGATCTCTGAGGTTGGAAAAGATCTCTGTGGCCATCAAGCCCAACCCGTGCCCGATGCCCAAATTGTCACCCAGCCCAGAGCACTGAGTGCCACCTCCAGGGATGGGGACACCACCCCCTCCCTGGCAGCAATTCCAGTGCCTGGGAACCTTTTCCATAAAGAAACTCCTCCTGGTGTCCTCAAGCAGCAGCCATGGCAGGAACAGGGTGTGTCTTGGATTTTTGGGGTTCCCAGATGAAGTGAGGAATG